GGGGGGGCAGTCTTTATCCTCATAATCATCAATACATACTCATTTTCAAATCCTTCCCCTGATCTTGTGTGAGTGTATCTGTGTGACTCACTCCCGTTGCTCAGCATTCCTGCAGCTTTTGCCGCTCATAGCAGTAGGCAGAGAGATTTTACTATGACATGGCAATTTTTCCTCTAAATTAAGATCTCTGTCTGCGTCTTGCGAGCAGAAACTGTGGAGCGTGTCATAGCTGTAGTTACACAGATACAGCTATTTATGTTGCAGTGTAATAGTAGCTATAACTTGCCTCACTGGCATATTAAACTTCCTTCTTGTATCATTCACAGCCTCTTAATAAATATGTAAATCACTAATAAATAATAAGGTCTCTAATAAATTTAAACTCTTATATGGTAGCATGTATCAAGATCTCAATTTTGTGTTGTCAGCTCAGTTCTGGTTAATAAGGTCATGAAGTGAATTATTGTTTTGCACAATAAATTATTGTGTCTCAGTGCATTAAATGCTACACCATGAGGTTTTTGTTCAACAGAGAGAGAGGAGACGTACACTTGATGCAAATTAATGATTTGTCATGTGAAACTTGTGCTGCGTTGTCCGTCTAATTGATTGTATGCTCCTTTATTCTCACACAAGACGCCACACTCGTGCATCAGTGCATAAAAATTGATTCGCACACAAACTTGTTCATTTTATTCTAGTCTTTGACATAAATTATGACTGAATATGGTTATATTGTTTGCGTTTGGAGGAAGATGCAAAAGAAAAGAAATTCCAAACTGAAGTGTGAGTTAATGAATAAGGCCAGAGTCAAGTCAAGCACTTTGATTTTTTTTAAGTGTTCTCCATCTGAGTCACGATCAGATATAAGCATATGGCTTTCCACTATATTAATCATCTGTCTGACAGTGATGTCACCATTTACCCATCAACCCTATATAATTTTACACTCATGCGTTTCAGTGTTGTGAATTTGCGTTTCCCCTTCCTTTCAGTTTAGTGTTTCTGAGAAAGCAGGATGACAAGGTTTGCAGGGAGATTAGGTGCTGTCTCCATGGTTACAGCTAGACTCATTTATATGTGCAGAAAGCAGACAGATGAGTCATCAGAGCTAACACACGCACACAAATGCACAGCACTATTCTTTTCTGTCCTCCTGCGCCCCTGAATGAGGAAGAGCATGCATAATTCAAGCTTTCTTGCTGAAATAGCTTTTTCTTTCTGCTCCCTGCTTCGTCTTGCTTCTTGAATTTCTCCACATTTCTTTCTCTCCTCCTCCTCATCCCCTCTCCCTCCCTTTGGAGTCCAAGCTCTCCATGCTTTGGAGTCCCCCCCAGTTTCTCCCATCTCTTCTCTCTTTCTATCTTTCAGCTTTCTCTGGATCTGTTGAAGGTTATTCAGAAAAATATCTCAGTGTAATGTGTTTGTATGATTGTATTTTCTGTCAGCAGGTCTGCATGGTAGCATGCAAGCAGCACATGTTTATTTTAACAGGTTGCAGTATTCGCACTGCACATGGAGGCAGCACAATGCTGCGTAACAGAAGCAACACTGCAGGGAGAGTTTTGGCACTGTGCCTGTTTTTACTACGTGACGCTCTGAACTCAGTGGAAATTACAGTGAAATTGCACTGTGAAGCTGTGTCAACACAGTCTATGCAAATATACTGTAGTTTGCATTAAGCAATATAAAATAATGTAGTGACCTACTTAGAAATTGTTGAAAAAAAGGTATGTTTGGCATGATGCAGTGAAAGGAAGACAAACAGCTCTTCCCGTTCACTAAATGATTGTATTTTATTTTATTTTATTACACATAATGCTGAATATAAAATGAGGTTTGACTTCACGCAGCATTTTATATATTGAATATTTTGCTTCTAGTGATAATCACTTAATTTTCGATATACACCACTGTTCAAATGTTTGGTGTCAGTATTATTTTTTTAAATAAATACTTTTACTCAGCAAGGACGCATTAAATTGGTCAAAGATATTTGCAGTGTTACAAAAGTTTTCTATTTGAAATAAATGCTGTTATTTGGAATTTTTTATTTATCATATTAATCAGCAGAACTGTTTTCAACTGTGATAATGATAAGAAATGTTTCTTGAGCACCAAAACAGCATATTAGAATGATTTCTTAAGAATCATGTGACACTGACAACTGGATTAATGGTTTCTAAAAAATTCAGCTTTACCATCACAGGAGTAAATTACATTTTAAAATATATTAATTTTAAATGTATTTGACTGTATTTTTAATTAAATAAATACGATCGTGTTGAGCATGAGACTTTTTTTTTTTTTTCAAAAACAAAAAAATTATCTTACCAACGCCAAATTTTTGTACTACATGTAGATCCACAGCTTTGTTACATAGCAGAAACAGCTCCTGCTTTTGCAGTTATGCTGTTTCCTCATCGCTGGATGTTTGAAACAGATCTCAGTCTTGACATGTTTGAACATGTTAGTAACATGTCCAAGTATCTTAGACACTCTGTCTATAATTAGAGTGTTTGTGACTGTCTAAATTTCCCTCTGTTCTAACATCACACTGATTGTTAATGAGTAAATGCAGTGATTACTAATTTACGCATTTTCTGATCCAAACACAATTACAGGTCACTTTTTACAGGGTTAGTCTCCTTGGGGCAACCTTTACTCAAGGGCACAGAAGTGATAGTTCAAGGATCAGCTCAGATCTTTCACCACTAGAAAACACTACCCTGCAAATGATTGTCTGATAGATTCACTGATTCATCTGATACATTTATTCATTGTAATCTTAAGCTGCCTCTTTACTTCTGCTTAATATTAAACATACAAGCGTGCTCTGGTACACTGATGCATTTTAAAAGCACACACAGGATTCTTATTGGTATATCAGGCAATAACCACAAATATTATACACATTTAATGTTCTAGTAACTGCACAGGAGAGTATAATATGTATATAAGTGATAGTAAAATTAAAGGTTGATAAAGATTTCCCCTCCCACAGGCTGTTATCAGCGGAAAGCAGTGTTCAAGATGCACAGTCACTTCTCTCCTTCATTCAGACCAGTGAGGTAAGAAAAAAAGGCCACTAAAGATAATTTCCACCTTTTGACTAGTCATGCCAATGGTTATATGGTATGGAACAACAAAAGGTTGAGAAATTGGTGACAGAAAATGATGTAAGTTCTATATATTACTGTAATACTATAATGTAACTATATGATATATTTATTTATAAATTACCATTCAAAATTTTGGAGTCTGTAAGATTTTTAAAAAATAAATGCATGCCCACCAATTTGACTGTTTTTTAAAAACGGTAATGTTGTGAAATATTACAATTCTATTTTAATATATTATAATATATATATATATATATATATATAAATTTATTACTTTGATGTCAAAACGGAATTTTTAGCAGCCATTAATTAATTAATTAAAAAACAATTTTGGGGACTTTTTGATATATAACCACTTAAGAAGTCTGTGATCAACAGTACGTTCAGCATAAATCTAAGGCAGTGATTATGCAGTACGTGTGTGTTGGGCTGTACATTGTGTACTTTACGTTAACAGATGTGCTTTCTGCTTTCAGATTGCGGCTATGGAGCCACGTTTCACTGCCAGGGACCTGTTTGATTGCGTGTCTCAACAGGAATACCGGTTAGTTAAGAGTCATGAGATAGATCAGACTCATTAGCTTATCTGCAACTCATACTCGCAGCTTTTACTGCTTTCATTAACCTGGCTACGTGCGTAATGCAGTTGTTCTGTTCTGATTGTTTCAACACCGCCCACTTTCAGCACTTTCGGCATTTCAGCTGGAGCACAGCATGCTGTTCTCAGGTCAGTGCTAGCTTCAGCAGGCCTCAGCAGGTAGCTACTGTCTCAGAGGACCAGTTTCTGCTTTAAGAGCGTTATTGCATCATAATCCTAACCAAACCTCAGAAGACGGTTCTGGGAATCCTAGACATTACGCCTGGCATGGTTGAATGGAAAAGTGAATCTTAATCTGTTCATTGCTCGTTGTGTACATGTGATATTAAAATCCAATTTGGTGATCCGTTCAAAAGTTTAGGGGCAATAAGCTTCTATACTAATTAAACTTGAGATTTGTGTGCTTCACATAATCTGTGTCACTGAATGTTAATATCAGGCAAACTGGAGAAGCGAGTGAGCTTTATGTGTACCGAGTTTAGGTCCTTATGATGAATAGATCAAGTGCTTTGACATTGCGCTGCATTCTGTGTAATAACTCTCACTAATATTGCACCTGTGTAATAACAGGTTATGCTGAAAACGCTCCTCTTGTGTGCTCTAAATCACACTTCAACACTGAGGAAGGCATTAATGATACATAGAGTGCATTTAATGATACATCACCTCTTTCCCCTGAGTCGTTATCCAGTATACACATTTCTGGTAAGGTTATTTCACAATTTATTCCCAGCAGTGTACAAAGGTGTTTGTGAAACTAGAACATAAGCATGTTTTATCTTGTCTCAAAGATTTTCATATCACCAATGTTTTTGATGATGATGCCCCAGGCTAATGAGGACTGATACAAATGAATGATAATTATTCAGTATATAAAGACTCTAATGTGATTGCGCTTGTAAATATTTAATTTGCGTTAGGATGTGGTTTCATATCATTTTACTATAGAAGAGGCTAATTAAGCGAGAGGAGCTTAGGACCTCAGGCTATTTGATGGCAGTTTTTCTTGTTAACATGCAAATTCCAGATTACACCACAATTTTTTTTAATGAATTGTTCCCAGGAATTTTGGGATAAGGAATCTGACCGTTAGAAAATAAAAAGTGAAATAAATACACTGTAATACTGTATTAATGTGTCGCAAGCATATCCGTGTTGTATTGAGGTTAAAAAAAGCAGTTGTCATTGCAATGTAATATAATAATTTTATTTTAAAAAGCAACTTTCAGCTCCTCAAAGTTGCTTTACAGTGCAAATATTATAACAGATCATTAGTTTATGAACATTCAAATGTAAATATTTAACAATCTTAAATGTAAATGTTTAAGCTTTTGTAGCATTTATACCTCTTAGGATTTTAGCTATAGATGTATTTCAGTGTCGTATAATGTAAAAAAAAAAAGAAGAAGAATTCTATAAAAATGTCAATCATAATTATAATGCAACATTTTTATAGTGTTCTGTATGTTTGCAAATTGCAAAATTCCGAATTCAGTGTGCTGTAATTTGCAGATTGTATTTAGGGAAAAGCTTTGCTCAAGGCCTATCTTATTTACTGAAATGAATTGTGGTGTGTACTAATCTAACTAACCTAGTAACTAACCAGTCCTACTACAGTGGAAGCATGGCTTATGAAAATGTGTGTTAAGTTACTTTACTCCAGAGCAAAGTCACTTAATTTAATGATTAATATTCACAAAGTGTAATTTTTATACTGGGCCGTGTTAAAACTTTGTTTTTGTTCTTTGAGCCATTAAATTGGGATGCTTTACAAAGTGTCATGTTTGCACCGTCACTTCCAGTTTCTTGTCTGTGATTTGTAATTATTTATTAAGCAGGATTGCTGCTTGCAAACTTTGACTCTGCGTGTGTTTGTCAAGGCTTTGTGAGTCTGTGTCTTCGGGGCGGAAGAAGAAGTTCGTTGATTAACCTTATCAGTCAAGTGTAGCTACACGATCAGACACACATTTGTGGAGCCGTTGACAGCTGATCTTTAGGAGCTCACTTACCTCAGCTCGGTCAATGAGCCGCGACACACAAGAACTCTGTGACCTCATTTCACGCACTAATCCACGTGTGTCAAATGCATACTTTAATGGGCCTGATCAGAACTGGCAGGTACTGTATGCTAATGCACAAAGACGCAATGATCAGGTCATGTGACCAAACTGCGGTGTCATAACCCCCACAAATGCACATGAAACATACATTATCAGTTGTGTGTCAATGTGACCTGTTATATATGGTTTCAGTGTGTTTGCATCGGCTTTCTGAACATTTCATAACTTCAGAAAGACTTTAGAAATCAGTTGGGCCGTCATCTCATGTAATATTGATTTGCGGACTAAAGATTCCTTAAGGTGATCTCTTAAGTTTACCAGAGTTATTCTGTAGATAAAAGCACCAGAATATGTTTTGCGGTACCAGAAAGACTGTTATTCATTGATGTTCATGAACATCTTGTCTCTAGGTGCTAAATCTCACAACAGGGATTGATATCTAAGCAACCAGACACAGCGCTGACTGTCAACTCGTGATGGCTGAGACGCTGCTGCAGCTTTTGTCTGATGTTCAGTGTTGCGTCTTTGTTTTCGAGCGAGTACCGTCACTGCGGTGTTATGTTCTGTTTTGTTGTTGATTTGTTAAGAATTGGCTTCATAAAGCATTCATTCAGCTGTCTGTTGGCTTTCTCGCTGCTGAAGGGGAGCTGCCCACATGTTGTACGGTTGCCATGGCAGCACTGTTGTGAAGCGGATAATTGCAAGGCTGAAGGAATGGAGTCCTTTATGTGTTCACCACAAACCACATCCCATAATTTTTAGTGTGGGAAGATTTGCATAACACCGCCCAAATGTTCACGCAAAGAAAGAAGGCGTAACTTTCATTCTCGCTGTAGTATTGTTGTTGCCGCCGCCGCCATGTCGTGAAGGCGCTGTGTGTTTCGTTGTGAAAGCGAAACTACTTTGTTTGGCCTTCCAAAAGAGGACGATATCCGCTTCGTCATGCCTGGAGCTGATCCGTGCTGGTCGCTGAGGAAATACATCAACTTCGCGCTGTCGATCGCTGGATCGGCTTTCACCGTGGACGAAGCGGAGTCCAGCCCGGGGTCGTCACATGTGGTTGCCGCAAGCCCGCCGGCCGCTCCTTCGTCGAATCCGCCGGCCGTGCCGTTCTCAAGCCCGCTGGCCGTTCCTCACTCTAGCCCGCCGTGTGTGACGCTGTGTGTTTTTTAGTGAAAGCGAAACTACTTTGTTTGGCCTTCCAAAAGAGGACACGACTAGAAATCAGTGGTTAAGTTGTATTTACAACACTGTTCCAGAACAGTTCAACCCAAATATTCAGATGTGTGCAGCGCATTTTATGGAAGACTGTTTACTGATCCTGGGAGAGTAACGTTAGACTAAAATGCCAGCAGTTCTGACTCACGTAACCAAATACACAAAATAATGTTATTTTTAGCAACATCATATGACTGCGAAAAAAACACTTCTATGTCAACCCTTCCGTGATTTTGAACTTTCTATGCATCAAAGAATAAAAATATAATACAAGTTTTCACAAAAATATTAAGCAGCACAACTTTTTTTTTTTTAACATTGATAATAATAATAAGAAATGTTTCTTGAGCACCAAATCAGCATATTAGATTGATTTCTGAAGTCTGATTCTGATTTTAATTTATAATGTTATAATATTTCACAATTTTACATAATTTGTTTATTATAAAGTAAATGCAGCATTGATCAGCATGAGACTTCTTTCAAAAACATTCAAAAGTGTAGTCTAACCCTAGACTTTTGAATAGTATAGTGTATAGTGGTTATAAGTATTAGAGATGCACTGATGATAATTTTCATTTTATGGCCAATATTATAATTCAATCTTGTCTAAATAAATAATCGTAAAACACTAAAACTAAAATAAATCATTATAAATGCTATGTCACATTGTAATGTACATTATGAAAAATTGATATTCTTTTTAAAAATGTAGATTACATTTGACAATGTATCTTCAGAACATTCAAAATACAGAATGTATTTTCAGACAGAACTGTAATTGTTTTGAAATGAGCCAAGACAACATTCCAGTCCAGACCAGGTCTTTATTTCCACCATTACCATACCCTTCATTATATAAACCAGCTCAGCGAGGGTTTGCACTGGAGAAAGACAAGTGCATGCATTCCTTCATTTTTTTGGTAGTTATGTAACATCCATTGCAACATTCACACACGTTGCAAACAAAACAAGGCAACAAGCAGCAACAGGTTGCAAGAAAGAGAGGGAGGAGAGATAAAGTAACACAATAATGGCCTTCATTCAAGTCAGTTGTGAACCACTGTGCCAGGGAGAGAGAGCGGCCTGTGTGACTGTGACTCAAGAGATTTCTGCAATTGTTTAAATGCCTTTCCTCTCCCATGAACGCTAGTATTAAACATGAGGAACAATTTCGTTGTAGTCAGTAAAGCATTTCCTGTAGATATAAAAAGCACCCCATTTTAGAGTGTGTTTGCCTTGGATTAAAGGGGTCATGAATTAAATTTTTTTTTGTTTGTTTCCTGAGGTGCATTTACAATTTTCTGTAGGATTTTTACATCAAAATCTGTCATAATTAGCCCTTTTGGAGTGTACCACAGCCAAAATACATGGTGCCACCAGAAAGACAATACAGTTTTGCCCTCTGATGTAAACACTTTAATTTTAGTTAAAGAAGAACCCTTATAATTGGCAGTAAGACACTGCAGCATTCATTATTATAGTTAAAAAAAAATAACTTCATAAATATTTGAAGTGTCCTCTGCAAAGTAATTTCTTCAGCCACCTTCTCTTGACCTCTTTCACTTCCTGCGTACGAGACATCCACTTCCTGTTTGGAACCACAGGCAGTGTAGCGGAAGTTATCCTGTGTGAAGTGAAACAGCAGGGACAATCAGGGACACTCACAACTGTTTAGGTAGATCAGATCTTCATCGCTTGATCTGTTTGCGACCTTCATCCTATCTGCTTCTATTCCTATTAAATAGAGAAGAACAATAAAGAATGTTTTCCAACTTAAAGGTATAGTTCACCTAAAATGAAAACTACCATCATTTACACATCCTCATGTTGTTTCAAACTTGTATGCTCTTATTTTTCAGTAGAAATAATTGAATAATAATAATTACAGAATAACTTACTTTTTTGTGTGTAGAAAAAATTAAGAATTATAAAAAGAAAAGTCGCAATTGCCTTTAATGTTATATTTCGTGACAGAAATAAGCTTCCATACAAATATGGTAGAGAAGTCTTATATATGTGTGTGTGTCTGTGTGTCTGCAGGGAGAAGCTGTGTGTGGGTGGTGCGCAGCTGTCTGAGCTGTGTGCGAATCTAGATCACTGTGCTGCTAATCTGAGCTCTTGGTCCTGATTTACCACCTGACTTTCCATGTTTGGACCCAACCAACTGTCTACTTACTATCTGACCAGACTCCTTTGGACCCCGACCTGGTTTTAATAGCAGAGTCATAATCTGCTGGAACCAAAGGCGCACCAACCTACTGATCCTCTGTCCTTGTACCAACCTGCAGCAGAGTCAGTGTGTCAGTCACATGACCCTGACTTATTATGCAAAAGCATCAAGGGCTATTAGTCTATATAACAGAAGTTAGATTATGTTCTAGTTCTTATGTTGTAGTTCTAAACTTTGATATGTTTTTTAATTGTGTTAAATTATTTGGATTATTTATTCACCTTACTTTATAAGTAATGTGCCCCATTTCGGGAAAACACACTGTTTTAGTGATGACTAAAAAATTGTTATAGGTTTGTTGGTGGTTTTGGTGTTTTATACTGAAGAATGTGGAATTTAATTTCTGCTGTGCCACTTGAAATCCTCCTGATGTCCAGGAGCTGTTGTGGTAACAGGTTATTATGTGTTCAGAAACAGAAGTATTACTTCATGACACTGTCTCACACGACATTCAGTGCTGCGAGGCTTTCAGTAAGTAGTGAGTGCGACAGTGAGTCATGTGTTAAAAGCCAATTTTCTTGGGTGCCAGTCTAGCTGCCCTTCTGGAAACTATCCTGAAATCCACTCGTTTGTTCCATGATTCTAAGAAGGTACATTTCGTCACAAGTTAATTATGACACTTACACTGTTAGGTCTGATAAGCTGCTGTGATTTCTTATTCTTAGTTCTGTCACTGCATATGAAATACCAGCACCAACATGATCCTCAGTCATTTATGACAGATTATTTTTTTATTCATATTCTTTGATTTCATGTGGAATGGTATCTATGCATAAATATTGTTTTAATTGTATTAAAGTGTGAATAGTTCAATTCTATTTTACTTTACATCTATTTGCATTTTGATTAAAATATTTGATCGTCAATGACTTGTCTCTTTTTTTGTCACATCAAACCCAAGGATGTTAATCTGGGTTTCTGGTTTGTAAGGCAGCACTGTGACATCACAAATTGAGAGGCATTATGGGAACAGTGATGATGTCCCTCTTGAGATTACTCCAATGCTCAATGACGTTAGCAAGGTAAAGGCTATGCCTGAGTTGTGTAGGTCATTGAGGTCAAAAGACATGATTACAGTATTTAAATTATTTTGCGGTGTTTTTAATTCTTTAATGGTAGGTACTTGTAGATGGACAAGGAAAATCATATATATATTTTTTATTCTAAGTCATAACATCCTAACATAATAACGAGGCGCGAGTTTATACTGCCAAGTCTTAATTACCCGACAGCAGCTGAGTCGCGCGCAGACCCGTTTTTAAAACCAGAAGATGACAGACAACTCCTATTTGGGTCTCTGTAAGTTCACCAATCGACATATTTAAACCTGAAATTCTCGCTAGACACGCATATGTGCAGCTTAGAGCGGCTTTCTCGCACTGTATGACAAGGCCGGAGTTGTCCTCATTCTGTTTTTTTGGGGGGGGTTTTTACAGTCTATGAGGTCCTCATAAAAAACAGAAGAAAAAAAATCTTAATGTACGGACGTGAATTTGGTTATAGAATACGTTTGTCACCCAAGTAAATGACCGAACTGTGTGTGAACGTAACCGTATTTAAAGCGGTATTCAGCCGCATTACGTTAGGGGAACGTATGTGTGAAACATTTACATTTACATTTAGTCGTTTAGCAGACGCTTTTATCCAAAGCGACTTACAGATGAGGAGGCTTCATACAAGGGCTGCTGCGACCGCTGCCGTGGTATACTAAGCTTTTTATATTCGTCTAACAAAACTCAAATTGAATTCAGCTGGACACACTTTCCTGTTTATCACAACAAATGGCCAAGCAAAGCACAATGTGTTTTGCGTTTAAAAGTGGAATAAAAACACTCTGCAAGATCTAGAGACATGTTTTTATAGTCAAAATTATTATTGTAACTTTAGTGCCGCGTTTTTAAAACACGGCCTGCGTCATGCCCGAGAAGCAGCAAATGTAAGGAGGGCAACGGTCAAACTTTAAAGGTTCAGCTAGCGCATGTTTATATAAAAAAAGAAAGAAAACAGCAATGGAAAAGCAGCTGTGGAATGCAAAAACTCACATAGTTCTTTTGGTATATATTTAACATATGCTATGAGTTCCTCGTCTTTATCAATCCTCCTTATCTCAGTAGAAATGACAGGAAAGTACCAGAAAGTCATTGCAGCAACTTCATGAGCATGGTACGGTGACCGAGAGGTGCGAAGCAAATCACAATTCTGAAAACAAAATAACAAATTACAAACGCAAATGCAAGTCTAAAAAACAAAATAACCAGTGTTGGGGGTAACGCGTTACAAGTAACGTGCGTTACGTAATAATATTACTTTTCTGAAGTAACTAGTAAAGTAACGCATTACTTTATAAATTTACACATGAATATTCGAGTTAATAATTTACACTCAATACGTTATTATTGCATACTGTTTTATAATGTACTACAATACTGAAGTGGAGATAATTGCCACTATTTGCAACAAGTAGTATACTTCATAGTAGAAATCCTGCTATTTTCACTTAGTGTAAATAGAATCCATTGCTAATACGAGATTTGAAAAGGGAGGGAAAAAAAGTTCGGCAAAAGGCGGGATCGAACCCGGGTCTGATAATCCACTGGAGCTGATAATTTAGAGCCACTTTTAACTACATGTAAATAGACACCCCGTATTTTTTATTCCAGAGTAAGGGCAATTCATACAATACATTTAAACTGAGCTACTTTAATACCATCTCCGAACTTTCTACCACGACTCTGCTGTTCTTCGGCTGGTTCTTCCTGTATACGTTGATTGACAGATGTCTCGTCCAGTCAGCGGTGAGTAATCCCAAACCAATGGCGCTGTCTCAAACTATACCTACCTCTTCTGGTTTGTCTGATTTGTCGTTGTGTTTTCTGATTTGTTAATTTGTTTTCGGATTTGCTGTTGTGTTTTCTGACTTGTTATTTTGTTTTCGAATTTGTCATTGTGTTTTCTGACTTGTTATAATGTTTTCTGAATTGTTGTTGTGCTTTCTGAATTGTTATTTTGTTTTTTAGACTTGCATTTGCGTTTGTAATTTTGTTATTTTGTTTTCAGAATTGTGATTTGCTTCGCACTTCTCGGCCACCGTAGCATGGCCTAAATCTAATGGATATTCAGTGCCAGAAAAGACCTATAATCCATCCCGAAGACCTTGTGCTTGTGTGGCTTTTGGCCTACTTCCTGCCAGCACGACTGTCCCGATTTGTCTGGGATTAAGACAGGTTAGTTTTTGTGAATGGACTGATGATGAAGGATTGCTGTATAAGAATCCAAGAATCAACCTGCATAATAAATGGACTGATAATAAACTAAACTATGGACCATAAAATACAGTAATCCAACATCATGGCTAATGGCACAGAATGAAAGAAATGTCAATTAACAATTTCCTTTTATCTGATCCTAAACTCACTGATCAACTACACAGTGGTGTTATATATCCACCAGAATAATATGACATTTAATATAATCACACCAGAATTCAAATCTAGAGATAAAATGTGCAAAACAATACGCAATTCATCATTTCTAGAGACACAAACAGCAATACTTTTACAGGTTGAAATGGTTTATTAGTAAGGAAATATCAGTTCATAACAAATGTGGTACAGGATTTTCTCCCCCGATCAAGTTTATTGAGAAAAACAAAACCATGGAGCCAAAAATATTTTTTGTTGCTTCCAAACGCTAAACACAGGAAATATTAAGAAATGTTGGTATTGAGAAGGAAATGAGCATCACCTCACTTGCTTGAATCAGTCAAACAAAAGAAATAGTAACAAAAGATCTAATGAGCAGAAGCACTGAAGCGTGGTCGATTATACGCATGTGAGGGTTACTAAACTGGCACTGATTAAAGTTTATATCCTCATGGGTGTTGTGTGTCGACTAGCTCATCCATCTATCTATTGGTTACTTAGCAGTGTATCAAAAATATAAAAAAGGCCATCTTTAAAGATTGGTACAGTAATCCTACGTCATGGCTAATGATACAAAAAGGAAAGTCATGTGTTTGAATGTTTTGTAAAATAAGGCTTTGTATAAGCATGGAGCTTTAAATGAAGTGAGCTAACAAAACAAAAAAACACACAAAAAAAAAACCTATAAAGCAAACATTCAACCTGAATCACTTCCTTAATAGGTTCAACCAATCAATCCTGTCTTCAAATTGCCAAAAAAGAAAGGAGAATTTCAAAACCACTCAAAAAGGTACACTCAGTGTGCAATAAATGTTGGCATTCTTCTTAAAATGGAAAAAAAAAGAAACAACAATATATACAACAACAAAAATAAAGTATGCAATATGCAAAGGCTTAATGTTGCTTTCGGCAACCCCCAACGGACCACCCCCACCCACCTCCTCCCAAACACTATAAGAAAGGTAAGCCTCATGGGTGACCCCTGTAAAGAAGACCCTACAAGACCCCGACACCTCAAAAACCCACCTGTCCACCCTCCCGCATACACACAGGACATCACAAAGCACGATTACGTCACTAAGCCTGTTAGTTTGAGTGAGATAACCCCCCACCCCCAATGGTTCCCTGACCCCTGGCTCTTAGGAATTGGTGAAGGCATCTGCACAGGGGCTCCACTCATCTGTTTTAGGGTTGTAGGCCTCAACCGAATTGAGGAAGTCGTTTCCATCAAAGCCACCAACGGCATAGATGATGTCACTGAGCACGGCCGCACCAGCATTGCTGCGTGGCGAGTTCATGCTCCCCAGCATCCTCCATTCGTTGCGGGCGGGGTCGTACATTTCAACGCAGTGCAGGGCATGAGAGCCATCGAAGCCGCCCACCACAAACAGTTTACCTGAGAGAGACGAACATCGGTTACCTCCTTCTACAAGCTGTATGTTCGTTTTCCGAGCATTTGTTCTTTGCTTACCTTCATAGATGGCCACTCCAGCTCCTCTACGGGCAATGTTCATTGGGGCAATAAGGGTCCAAGTGTTGTTTTCTGGATTGTAGCATTCCACACTGTTCAGACAGTTCCAAGACTCTGCTCCTCCGATCACGTACATGAAGCCATCCAACTCGCACACGGCGGCCTGATGCCTCCCTGTAGATGCACAAAAATAACGTTGAGAACAGTATCTGCAGATCCATCTGGCTTTTCATCAATGTAATCCCCGCTGTACGCTTAAGCTGTGATCTTTTAAGTGCCCAAAACCCCTGTGGAAGCAATTATAGGGATATTTTTTGACGTCAACGTGACTTACTGATGTTTAAAGGGGCACAGCTGTTCCAAGCCTTGCTCACAGGGTCAAAAACATCACAGTTCTTCAGACCTTTCTGTCCGCATGGATCTGATCCCCCAACAACATACAACTTGCTGTTCAGAGAGCAGACACCTGAGGAAAGTCAAACAAGCAGTGATAAATCTGAAGCTACTGTATTCTCTTTGTTGGATGGACAAATTCAAAATCTATCTAAAGGAATGCACAAATTCTGACTGAGACTGATATTTATTTATATACGTTATGGCCAATAACCAATGAAACAGGAATTGTAAATTCTACAAGTGAAGTTTTTACCTGCATTGCAACGATTGGTCCTGAGCTCTGGCACTTGAGTCCACTCGTCAGCACTAGGGTTGTACGTCTCCCCACAACTTAGTTCATCTGAATGGCCATTGGACCCACCCATCACGTAAAGCTGACCCTGTTTGGATTTAAACCATAGTTTTTTACCGTGCTTTTGAAGGCTGTACTTTTTAAACACCCATTTGACCATGTACACACCATGAGCACAGCCATCTGAAATCGAGCACGTGGAGTCCTCATTGGAGCAATAAAACTCCAGCTGTCTGTCTTCATGTCATAACATTCCACAGTCCTCAAGCACTC